ACCAACTTGACTTGCGATCAGAGTCACGGAACGGATTAAGTTCGTAAGTAGAGGTACCACTGTATCTCTACAATTTTTAAGGAGATGAATATTATCCTCATAGATTACAAGAACAATCACTTGCACAGTTGAGTTACTACTTCATATTGGATATGAATTTTGTAAACCTAGTTGCTGTACCACACCATCTAATGTGTAGGAAATCAGCTTTGACACCTCCTAGTTAGTCATGTGTAAAAAAACCCCAAAACAGTGCAGTGTCCAGGGCAAAGACAGCAATAGCAGGTGTGTTCAAGCCATGAACTGCATATAATTCCTAAGTACTTTGTTCCTTTCCTTTCCCTTTTTCGCTGCAGCAACTATGCCACCCTGGCAAAAGAGCCTAGTGCAATTCCGTAGTAAATTGCAGATAGATGATGTGTTTGCACTGCCATAAGTGGCATTTGATTGTTATTCCTAGATGGTATCCAGCCACAAGATTGTACTCATGGCTATAAATGTAATGTCATTCACTTTTAAATTTGTTTTTCCTATGTTTTTAAGAGGAAACTTGGATTATGCTTGGTTCTGTATATGACAGATTTTTAAACTAAGTGTTAGCTTTTGTGAATGTATCCTAGAAAGCCTATGGTCGAACCCCAGCTTTGTCCTCCCCAAAATGAAAAAAAGCCTCTCTTTGTTTTAAGTGATCTGAGTCTCCTGAAGCCTTAATCCAGCTGTATGCCTTATTGCCCTTGGCTGCCTTTTTAAATAAAAATCACAAAAAGTTGCCTCTTTCTGAGCTATAAGACAATTAGCTGCACTTGGAGAAACTAACCTGGGTTTCATTGATGGCCCCAAACACTGACCTTGCTTCAACATTAGGAGGGGAGAACAGATTGAAGTAGAACCCTAGCAAGACTGAGCTGCTTGTTTCTCTCCCTGGCTCTCTCTTCATTCCAGTGGTAACTCTAGAAAGGATAGTGTTCTCCCTGATGGAGCAGATTCACAACTTAGGGATCCTTCTCAACTCACAGAAACTGCTCGAATAGGTAGGTGGAGGCTGTGGATGGGGGGACTTTGCCCATCCACAGTTGGTGTACCAGTTGCACCCTTCCTGGAGAAGGGGCCCTGGCAACAGTGATGTACATCCTTGTTGCCCCCAGGTTCTATTATTGCAACATGCACTACATGGGTCTGCCTATGAAAAGCAGTTGGTCTTTAGAGTTAGAGTTGGTCCAAAAATGTAGCAGCCCACTTGTTAACAGACAAGAGCCACTGTTCTCACATAACTCCAGGGCTTTATGCTCTGCAGTGGCTACCCATAGGTTTCTTGGTACAGTTAAAAGTGCACTTTGACCTATATGGTTTGGTACCCAGGTACCTTAAGGACAACCCACTTGAATTTGAATCTTACCTGTCCAGTACACGGCTCTCAGATTTTGGTTTTTCTTGTATATCACCATTCATGCAGGCTAAGGCACTTTAAGACAGTAAATGAAGTTGTACTGAAATTAAACTGCTTTGTCTCTTGCTTTCAGTGTGTTTGAATGGGGGCCTGATTCTGCTGAACATCTTGCCAGTGCTAGCTACCAAAGTCGACATCTTCTTGAATTTTCAGCAAGTAGACCTCAGGAAACAGGTGGCAAAAATAATGATGGGTAAGCATAAAACTTTATCTTTTATTGTCTTCCAGTTTGCAATATTCTACATATATAAAGATAGCAAATGGATAATGTGTTGGATATTTCTACTTGAGGGTCCATAATTTTCTTACAAATGGTGCAGAATTATTTTGATCTACTAACGTTCTTCTCTGTCTCTGGTGCATGTATTGTGTCTCTTGGAGATGTTGAAAAAATAGCAAGACTCTTGATTTCCCAAGTATTCCTGAAGCTATCAATACTATCTGTCTCATCCCATTTCCAACTTGGAGTTGGTGAAGATGGCAGAACTTGTTCCTGAAGATACACTGAGTTTTAGACATGCTCAAAGTACTTGAGAAGATAACACCTGTAAATGAATTTAGAGCTAATCTTGGTGAAGGTATGAATGAACCATTAAGGAGGGACTTGAGCAAAAGATTACATAGTCCAGAGATAGAAGGAAGTGTGAGAAAGAAACTCAAAATAATCCTACCTTGATTTTGTTTAGTATAAGATGAGGAAGAAAGAAACTTGAAGAGGCTCTCAAGATTAATGTCAGCCCTTTGAGGTAGGCCAGGTCAAGAAAGAGACACTGCAGGGATTCCAGGAATGCTATTTTATTTTTGTGAGTATGTTTACACAATCTTGAAAGCCTATCCAAATTTCTCTCTATGGAATATCTTGTCCAAGTCCTTCCTGAATACTTCCTGAATACTTGTACTTTTCCCAGGGTCATCTCTAAATTCCTGTGCAGTGCCACAGAGACAAAATCTGATCTTCCAAGTGGGGGAGTATTTAGGCTGCTGTGAAACTCCTGTTCTTCTCCTCACTCCCCACTTAAGAGCAAAGTGCTGTCTGTTCCTGCATAAAGCTGATCTTGCCATAGTTCTGTATACCTTTGTCAGATCTATAGTACATATCCAGAAGCTTCAGCTGCTGCAAAATGCAGCAGCAAGTTTTAACAGGAACTGGTCAATATATATATGTTTAAAATTAAATGAAGTTTGTATAGTATCCAATACATTTTTGCTTATTTGATAATTGTGTTGTTTTTATTTTGATTCATTTCACTGAGCATCTGAACTTATCATTATCCAGAGGAAAGGATAAAAGGAGGGAACTTTTTGGTTAATATCTTGTCTGAGGGTTGAAAGCTAGTCTATAGGTACAAAGACTGCTACTCATTCTTCAGCTTCAGTGTAAAGTAGGGGTTTGGATTCTGTGCTTTTCCACTTGTTGGGCTACAATTTCCATTAGCCCCAACAATCATAGAAGTGGTCAGGGGGAAAGAACTTGGAGTCCGATGTTATCAGGAAGGCCACCTGTTCCTCATGCCAGTGCTTTGCTCCGCAAAAGGACAAATATTTGATAGAATGCTATAGTAAAGATGCTTTGTTTCAAATCCTTCCACAATAGCAAAGAGCAATCAAGCGCTAAGCACTATTTTCTACAACCTTTCTTATTAGAAACATATTTGACCTCAACAGTTCGATAGCTAAATAACAGCAGAGGTCTCTTCTAGTTTTAGTTCACGTGTGCCTCTCTGGAGCATTTGTATCCCAGTGTCTGCTCTTACTGCAGTGCTTTCAGAACATCCACTGGTCTCCCTTGTTTTTTATGAACAGCGTTTTTTTCCCAGATGGATCAGTCTAGCATTATTGGAAACTTCTGAAATCTTCTGAGATGCAGGCTTTTCCCGTTCCAAATGGTCTGTTCTGAAGCACTTTGTTCAGATAACCAAATCCAAAAAAGGCATTCAAACCACTGGAACCTTGTCTGGAAAATAATATTATTTTCCTCAGACACGGCAATTTTTCTATGTAGTGAACTTGGAAAAGCATTGGGAGTTTTCTTTCTGCACTGGGACACACTAGTACAAATTTATAGCCTGAAAAACAGCTCATCATTTGGTGTTCAGAGCTATGATCTGAGAAGACCTACTCAGGGCAAGTTTGGGTTTACTGCCATATACATTTGGAATGGGAATTTACTTTACTTTAATCTGAATATGCTCTCTCTCTCTTACTAGGACTAGCATAGAGTAAGCTGGATGTGGACCAAAAGCCAGTGGAAAATCCTACTCGTATTTGCCAAGGGGATAAGGCATGGCAAATGCAGAGGCATTTTATTGTTTGTCTGTCTTCCAGCTCAGACTGATCTCTCACAGTGCTTTTCCTTTCTCTGCCTGAGCACATTGTTCTAAGCTGGTCAGTAGGCTAGGCCCAGGCTTGGAGGACTGAATTTTCTATAACTTACTGCTGTAGAGAGAAATAGTATCCTTTAGTTGTTTAACTGACCTTAATGTTGGAGATACAAGGAGCTAGAAAACATCCAATAATTAAGTGAAGAAAGAAACCCTCCCCTTGGAAAGTAAACATATGTTGAACTGCTAAGGAATGCTCAGAGAATGGTTTGAAACAGAGGGTTTTCTCTTCCTATCAGTTCACAGAGAATAATAATTCAATAGCATTAGAGCTTTAGAGGATCAACAATGTGCAACACAGCGGAGAAGATAAGATGCAGCCTGTTTATAAGAATCTATATTTGTAGATCAGTATCTGAAATGTTGGCTCCATTTTTATAAAAATAAAGGGACCCAGCAAAGCCCCTTAAAGGAGGAGTACACAGCTTTTTGTAAGGTAGAATGCCATATTTGAACTTCTAGTGACAGGTTGGAAGTATATTTCAAAACATGGTTGGGTCAGGACGAAAGCTAAATCTTGTTTAATTTTAAGCCAAATTTCAATAAAATTAAATACAGTTAGTATATGTATTAATTCATTTTCACTTTGTCATGTTGAAAAACATAATTTGATAGCACCTTTTGGAAGGAACTTTGGTAGATTGGAACTATTATAGTGTGGATAAAACAAATATTTTTATTTATTTATTCATTATTAAATTTATATGATGCCCACCTCCCCCAAAGATACAAAAGAAATGTGTCACAACTGTGATACTTTTTAAAAACAGAAATTAAAGCAATGAATTAATGAATGGAATGACGCTGTTATTGAACATGCACTAACATAATATAGAATTCCAGTTAATTACAGAGGAAGTATCTTGCATTCAGATATGACTTCCCAGGTTGCCTTTTTATATTAAATTGTAGTAATGACATGATTTAAAAACTTTAAAATACAACTTTGTCAATCAGCCATACCAGGAGTGTTTACCAGAGAAGGAGTATATAAGGAAGTAGTAACATCATCCATATTCTTTTGGAAAATGAAGAAATGATTGAGGGAAAGAGGAAAGCAAAAAAAGCATACAGAAATCTGTTTAAACATTCCAAAATGCTACCATCAAATATTTAATGTTGGTCAAGATCTTCATCCAAAGCCTTCTAAACTGTACATTTCCCCTTCCTGATGCCCATCAGTGCTATGGAGAGAATACATGTAGCTTGGGGTTAAACAAGTTCTTGGCATTCTCTGAGCTTGGTTGTTTCCTCAGAGACGTTTCATTACCTGTCAGCTCTTGTAATGATGATATTACCATGCTTGGTAATGAAATGTCTGCAAGAAAACGAGCAAGCTCAGCGAGCATCAAGAACCCAACAGCTTTGTTCATTTCACAGCAGTATTACCCAGGAGACATCAGTGTGACACAAGACTGCAAACTCCACTTGCAGTTCAAAAGAAGATCCCTTCCTATGCGTGGCTATGTGAACATTTCTAGGATAGTAACTCTTCCGATCCTGATGCTCTTAAGTGAGCCTGGGGCTGCTGTCTGGTCCTTTAATTGCCTAGAATGAATTCCATCAATTGTTGCTAATGTTCTTGTTGGCTTGTTACAGACGTTTACTTTAGGCATTGAGTAAATGCGCACTTAATCATCTTCTGCTTGAAATCTGGCTTTTTCAACTAATAGGTGATTCAGACCTAGCAGAGCCTTTCTTTTCCAAGTCAGCCACAGATGTGCCGAAAGCATAAATAGCTGAAAATGTTTTGAAAGCAGGCAGCAAGACGAGACTGTTTGTAATGTCTTTACAACTAAAATTCTGTATCATAAACTATGCACAGGCATGAGCATTGAAAGAAAGCTAGCATTGTTTGTGTTTGAACTTGCTGAAACAGAGGCCTTTTGGGGTGGAGGGGCGTGGGGAATTTCCCATCCTGTTTTCCTCACACGTGAAGTGTTAACATATCTCATCACTGAATTTGTAATACTTTGGTTTAGTTGATTTGGCTGCTTATCTATTCCCTGCCCTACATCTTAGATTCCAAGTACTGGTGTAGATAAGGGTTTGCACTTCTCTAGCCGCTACTCTTCTGTTTAGAGTAGCCACCCCATTTTTCTGCTAGTCCCTCATCTGTTTTGCATTTTTCTGCTATGCTTGATTCTGAGAGCTCACATTATCTTGATGTGATGTATTTCATTTACACCCATTTTTTTCCTTGACCATGTTCCACCTAATCCCAGCTCTGATTCCTGCACATTCCACTTGACTGAGCCTGCCCTTGCTAAGGTTCCAAGAGCTGTTTTGTGGCCATACATGTGGCTGCTTCTCAGTCCAAATTTGTAGCCAGGGTCCTTTCCTCTTCTTGCTCTCTTTGTTGAGCTGCTGCAACCTTGCAAGCTGTGTTCACCTGCATCTTGGTTATTCCCGGTTATTTCACCTGACTTCTGATATACTACAGAATTGCTTTGCCTTGCCTTGGCTCACCTTTCATTCTTCCCAACTTCTCACTTTTCAGGTAACAGCGGAAAAGATTTCCAAATCTATTTTTCCACAGCTTTTTTGCTAGTTTCAAGTGCCACATTCTTGAAAAGAAATGACATCCAAGATAGTTGGAAAGGAAGGTGATAACTTTCCTGTAGCATTTTCAGCTGCAAGAGTTTGTGCAGTTGACGTAAGAGACATACTTCCTATAATTGTAGTGTTAGAAGTGGGCTCAGATGTCATCTTCTCCAACATTGCAGAATCCATTAGAGCATGTCTGACAGACAGCCATCAAAGGCTCTATTTGAAGACCTCCAATGAAGAACTTGGCAGTTTGTATAGCATCCTATTCCACTGGCTGATACCTCATACAGTCAGGAAGTTCTAGCCTGAACCTACTTCCTTAGAGGTTTTTTAATCATTTGATTCTGGTCCTGCCCCCTCGGGAAATAAAGAATAAGTCCACTCCTTCTGTGTGACTGTCTTTCAGGTATTTGAAGACCGCTGTCATATTTCCCTCTAATTGTCTATTCTGTAGGCTAAACATACCCAGATGTTTTAAAGGTTCTGCACAGGCTTGGTTTTGAAATCCCTCACCATCTTAGTAGCCCTCCTCTGTTCCAGTTTGTCATTGTCCTTTTCAAACGATGATGCCTCAAACTGGATACAGTACCCCTAGTGGGATTTGACTAGGGCAGAGTACAGTGGAACAGTTACTTCTTGTGATTTGGATTCTATGCTCCTGTTAATGCATCCCAAGATAACATGTACTTTTTTAGCAGCTGTAGTACACTGCTGCTTCATATTTAACTTGTAAGTAGCAAAGATACACACATGTACTATTGCCAAGATAGGCTTTCCCTGTCCTACACTTGTGCCTTTCCTATCCAGATGCAGAATTATGCCCTCCTTCCTGTTAAAATTCATCCTATTCTTTTCAGGCCAATTCTTTAATTTTTTAAAAAAATCTTCTGTCTTTCATCTAAAGTGTTACACCCCCCCCCCACCGCAGTTTGTATCATTTACAAACTTGATAAGTGTCCCCTTAACTCCCTTAGTCAAGTCATTGCTAAAGGTCCTAACCAACACATAGTGCTCTGAGACTTCACTCAGTGCTTCCCTCCAGGCTGAGTGGGGCCATTAATGAGCATTCTTTAGGTGTGGTAATTTAGCCAACTGTGAATCCATCTAACAGTGGTAGCAGCTGGTTCATATGTTATCATTTTATGAAGGGAAATATTATGAGGTGCCAAGTCGAAGGTTTTACTGAATGAACAAAAGCTTTTCTATCTTACTTGATTTTAACCTATTTTACCTGTTATTTTATCTCATTTGGTCAATCTTTTTTATTGGTTTCAGAGATGTCATTCTCTTTTTCTTTTTTAATTTGGTATTTGCCTGTACAGTACATTTATTTTAAAAAATAGATTTACAGTGTTAAATATTTTTTAAAATTATTTCCTAGATATAAGCCTTCTGTTTCGGATAACAAAGCACTCATGGTAGTTACCGAGGAACCAATAATATATGTAGCTCCCCCACCTTGCCAGCCATTTATCAACCGGACAGAATTACTCAGGTAAGCTGCTTGCTTATCAATAGTAGAAATGTTAGTGCTAGGCAGGCCGTATAACCTAATGTCTGACTTCCTCAGTGTTCAACTCCCCACACCTTTCTGTCAACATGTAGTTTTTATAACAAAAGCGTGTTTACATTATTTTGATGTTACATTATTCAAAGTGGCATTTAAAAGAATGTTCCAGATAAAAGTGAAAGGGTAACAGGATAATTAGTGTTCTCTAAAAGTCACTAAATGATCTGTAGGAAACATTTAAAGCCCTGAAAGTCATTAAAAATCTTGATGAACAATTAGATAACTTGCCTTTTAAATGGAACTTGTGTTCCTTTCCATAAAGAAAGCATCACTCTCCAAAAGCTATGGAGAAAGCCCTCCAACGCATATCATACATTTCCAACATGTTCTTTAAAGGCCATGCAAGTTCTGTGACATTGACAGAAAATTAGTCAACATGGTGAGTTTATTGGATGATTTTGTTGATGAGCTTGCAACTTCCTGTCCATTTCAGTGCCATAGTTCAAAGCAAACATGTTTTATAGCCACCTGTACTGGAGTTACGTAATGCATTCCCAATATCATTTAGGAATAAGCAAAGCTGCTTTCTTGTACCTTACCTGTCTTAACTTATCCTAAGCAGGCACATTCTGACTGGGAGATCCAAATTCAAATATTGAAGTTTGATGTAGATAAAGTGGGACATTATTTCTGGGATTCTTAATTAATGGTATAAACTAGGGGCCAATCTGAATCTGAATTCAAATTCAGTTCTTCTTAATTTGTCATGGAGAAGATTGTCCTTGAATATGTTTTTTCATTCCAGTCATAATTCTGTTTCTCAGCAGAGATATAATTTTCATGTTATATGTACAGGTTAAGTCATGAACTAAGAGGTTGGGTGCATAGACATGAAGCAGAAAGAACACGATCAAGAAGGATGTCAAATAATCAGCAGCAAAAAGAGCAGGCTGTCCAGGTAGGTTTGGGGAATCGTTTATATTTTGTGGCAGCAGAGGAAAAGAAAGAGGAAAAAGAAAATCCTTGGGCCCAGAAGATCTAGATAGAGAATGCATGTTCTGGGGAATGGACAAAGTTCTGATATTCCAAGGTCTCTATCTCTGCTCCTTTGTTATTCAGATGATACAGGGATATGAAAGTACTCTTTCTGTTTCTAAAAAATCTCTGCATGTTTGGGTGTATATAAATTAGGCTTAATTAATGTATTTTTAGAATACTTTCCTCTCTCCCATCAACGGTTCCCCACATCACAATGTTAATGTTTGAAGTTAAGTATCATGTGGGATACCTACATTGGGTAGTTTCCATTCTTTTTATGAAACATCTGAAAATGCCTTGCATTTTAAAATATATAGTTTTATATGCAAATATAATATTTATATATATATATAAATTATATATATATATATAAATTAAAAAAATAATTTTTAGGAGATTTCCAAATAAAATTAGAGAGAATGTTTATATGCCTTCAATAATGCTAAACCACTGTTGTCTATAAGTGACACTCAGCTCTTGTCAATTTGGTGATAAGTAATTTCCTTGTTCATTTTTCCTATCCCCAGAATGCTTCAGGAAAAAGTGTAAATTCCGAACTGATGGCCCTTCCCTATACAGGCAACAGTGTTGGGTAAGTCAGAATGGAATCTTCCCGTTGGTGTAGTATTACACAGTTCAAAATTTTGCCCTATGTGGTAACTGTTTAATTGTTTTACTAAAAAAGGCCAGATATATTTATTGGCAATCCCGTTAACCAGGTTTTCATCCAAGGTCTTTAAGAATGAGTCAAAGGATTCATCTAGTCAAGTATTCTATTTCCAACAGTGGCCAGATATATTTTTCTAGGAAGTTCACAAATGGACATAAGAACATCAATATTCCCCTTTCATTAGTCCTGGCACCTGGTATTCAAGGAATATTGAATATGTCTAATACCTGGGTTCTAGCCTGTCACACATGAGCAATTTTTCTTATTCTTTCCACTCTGAAACAATGTAAATATCATGTGGCAAACAATTGTCTTGCCACCCCCTCATATAAATTATTTGCTGCCTATCAAAACTAAAACCTCATTCCTATTATAATTACCTCATCTACAGATTGTGATTCCACAGTTTCCAGTCAGCAGAGAATGGGTTTTCCCACACCTCAGAGTAATCTCTTTCTGAATTTTCTCCTTTTCTGTACATTAATTATATTTCTAGATTGTTTTCTATAACACTGGTGGCTTGCATGTACTTTCATTAAAAGAAATCTTATGATGCTGTATGCCAGGTAAATCTTATGATACTATATACCAGTGTTTTTCAACCTTGGCAACTTTAAGATATGTGGACTTCAACTCCCAGAATTCCCC